TCTGGTGAAGCCTCTCGCCGCCCCTGAGCCTCTGGCCTGTACCCCAGTTCTGTATGCACAAATAAATAAATCTTTAAAAAAAAAAAAAAAGAAATGATCTGTTTATCATAGGGGAGTGACCATGCCTGTATGACATCTAACATAAAATCTGATCTTCAACTTTAAGTCAACAAAATTACAATTAATTTTGCATGAAGCCTTACGAAATCATCCTATTTAAACAAAAGATCACATCCTTAGTTCCTATAATCTTTTTATTTAAAATGAGTTGACACATTTATCATTTGATCATCATTACTTCTAAGAAATTACAAGTAAGATCAAGATGACTAAGTAAAAAATTGTAAAGCTCATTTAAAATATGCAACACCTATTTTCTACAAAGATGATTAGGATTTTTAAATTTCCTCAGCAAACCTGGAAGTTCCTTTTAATGTATCACCTGTGTCATCATTTCACTGATAATAAACCCTAGCATAAGAAGAAAAGGAAAGAGGAATTTTCAAATGAGAGTGGACACTATGTGGAGGTAACAATCAACAATGGAAATAAGTGATGAACAACTTAAGTGTTCTACCAGATGATGCAAGGATTGTTTCATCTATGCAAGTCAATGTCATACAAAAGTAAAGGTAAAGATCATAATAAGCAATGTAGAGAAATACTTTGATTAAGATTCAGTGCCCATTTATGATAAAAGCTCTTAACAAAATGGAAGCTAGCTCAACATAGTTAAGTCCAAATATTACAAAATTACAGTCAATATAATACTTAAGGTAAAAGATTGAAAGCTTTCCCTTCCAGATTAGTTACAAGAGGTATCAGCTAGAGCAATTAAACAACAAAAGGAAACCCAAGTGGGGAAAGGAGTGAAACTATCATTATTATGTATGAGTCACTGGGATGACAATGTAATTCTGTTATTCTCATATCTTTGGGCTGAGAAGGTAATTATAAAAAAAAAAAAGCAAAGAAGGTTCTTGCTTCATACAGCTTGTTACTTTTATTACTTTAACAGACCAACATGTTGCGTTAGTTGGGGCAGTTTTATGCCCTGAGGTTGTTCAGATATAAATTCTGAGGTGATACATGTCCTAAGGGTGTTCAAATATTTTCAAGACTGTATTTAAAATAAGGAATTATATGGACAAATTTTCAAGGAACTAACTTTTACAAATACAATTATTTTGAAACTTTTCATGCTGAATATAAGGCAAGTTTTCCTAAATTATATTGAAGTAGTGGTTTTTAAAGTAAAATTGCAATTGAATTTCAAGTACAAAGTTATGTGGCAACTATACAGGGCCTTACTTCTTACTGTATTAGGTGAATTTTAATCCCTAAAAAATATAACAAGGTTCTCTTTGTCTAAATTCTGGGGCACAGGGGAAATTCAATAACTACTTTGACAGCAGTTTTAATAACTGGTAACTTAAGAAACTAAAGTCTTAAAATTCCTTTTGCCCCCAAAGTCACATGTACTTTTCTACCTAACCCCTTGGGAATGACACACTCAACTTGACCTAAAGAAGTCAAGTTTGTCTCAAGTACCTAGCAAACCAGAAAAGTCCAAGGATGTGGGAAGCAGGAAGCCTGGGTTGTAGTCAGCTCTATACATACACTTTCTACAAAATAGCTTCTACTTCCTATAAAGAGAGGACTGAAACAAATGGTAAAGGTTTCTTCCAGTACTTTCTTTAGACATTTTATCTACTTCACTCTTTAAAACCTTTCATTAACATGGCCCTCCCTGGTGGCGCAGCGGGTTAAAGCACAGCACTGAGAATCTAAAGCCGCTTCCGCATGAGTTCGATTCCCGCCACACCAAGGCGTGGCAGACCTCTCCTGGCCCTCCCGCTGCTCCCCTCAGCAGTGTACTTCATAGATCTGCCTGTTCTATTCCCCATTGTCTCTGGTGAGGCCTCTCATCGCCCCTGAGCCTCTGGCCTGTACCCCAGTTCTGTATGCACAGATAAATAAATCTTCAAAAAAAAAAAAAGAACTATGTGAAACAGCTATGTGATTCACAAATGAGGGATTTGAGGCCCAAAAAGTTAGAAGTACATGCAAAACCAGCAGTATTCATTTCATTTCATGAAAACCAAAACGCTGATAGAATTCTTAACAGTCCAGTAATAAATTCATAAGTATTAAAAAACCACTGTTCTGCAAATCCAAGCAGAATACTGAACCTATGCAACAATCATCAATAGATGTCCTAATCATTAGGAGAAATATTAACAGAAATTTTAAACATGGGAATGGAGCTGACAATTTCTGAAACACCTGATCAAACTCACTTAACAGTTTGAAGAACAAAACAAACATGATCTGCCTCACAACTAAAACCCAAATCTAACCTAGTCACAGAGTACACAAAGGACAGAAGTGAAATGACACAAAGAGAAAAGAGTCAGTAAATCCAAATTAGTCTTGAGAACAAATGACCCAATTTCAGAAGTAATACTACTGGAAAAGAATACATAACTAGTACAACAGATCTCACTTGAATTCCAATACAGAACAATCATTTAATCTATATTAGGTTTATATTAATACTACTAACTATTAGTATTCAATATTAAGGAATTACTGTTGAACTAAAAATAATATACTGGTGGTTTTCTTTTTCAAAATCCTTCTAAGATAAAAACGTATAGTAAAGTAAAATATCATGATATCTGTTTATTTGCTGATCTGCTCTAAAATATTCAAAAAGAAAAACAAAAAGGCAAAATTTGTCTATGAAGCTTGATTCCAGAGATTTGTTATACTACTACCTAAACTTCTGTGTTTGTTTGAAAATATCCATAGTAAAAAACAAAGTCCAGCTAGAAATGAACAAAAGACATAAATGGAAAGAATAGGGATGACACATAAACAAACGGGAAGGTGTTCAGTACTACTATATTAGGGAAAAGTAAAGTAAAATCACAAGGAGATAGCAACACATCTAGTAGGATGATCAAAATTAATAAATAGAACAACAGCACTGCAGTCTCCCTGATGATGAAAGGGTTAAGTCTCGGCATTAGCATCACAGAGGCCTGACCTTGGATTCCAAGTCAGGGAGCTGACCCACAGGGCCAGCAGATCTCTATTTCACCCACCGCTCCTCAACAGTGGGTTTCAGTCAACCCACCTATTCTGCTCCCCAATCACACCTCCTGGTTGGCCGGCACCCCAGTTCTTATATGCATAAATACATCTTAAAAGAAAGAGAGAATTCTAAAACACAAGAAAAAGAACCAGCCAAAACATGCACAGAAGACTCGAATGGACAATCTCCAAAACAAGAAAATCAAAATAATAAGAAAAGATGCTCAACTGCAATAAGCAAACTCAACTCACAAAATCATATCATTAAATATGCACCATAGGAAAAAAAAATAAGTGTAAATTACCACTGTTAGTGATGCTGGGAAAGTATACTGATCCGTCTCCTTTGGCAAAGTCAGGTTTCCCCCACTATACAAATGTAGTGTTCCTGTTTGGTAGGATTTGTCCAGTTATTTTCTCAAACTGGAAAAGCACTTAACAGTAATTTACAGAGAATAAATCTGGGGTATATCTATACACACCCAGATCACATTTTACTTGTTCTGTTTCTCTGAAGAATCCTGACTGATGCTGATATGAATACCCAAAATAGTTCCAGAGGAAAAGAATTTTAAGGTTGAGTTTTCTACGCTGGTTCTGAGGTTTCTGAAATTGGTTCTCTACTCTGAATTTGGATTTTAGAGGCAACATATCCCTCCATTTGGGAGTGCTACTCCAGCCCATTTGCAAAGTACATCAGAGTTAGGGCTTTCCAAAAGTATAGCACCAATGGGAAATAAACACACACACACACACACACACACACACACACACACGACACAGTGTGTGTACACATAATATAAATATATTATTATATATAAGAGGAATAGAGTGTGTATGTAAACATTAGAGATTTATGTAAGGAATTGGCTCACATACTTGTAGGAGCTGGCAAGTCTGAAATCTGTAGTTTAGGCGGTTAGGCAGGATACTCAGAAAGGAACTGATGGTACAATCTTGACTCCAAAATCTACAGAAGAGGCCAGGAGGCTGGAAACTCAAGCAAGATTTCTACATTACAGTCATGAGGCAGACTTTTCCTTTCCTAGAATATCTGTTTTTATTCTTAAGAATTTGAACTGAGACGCATGCACCCCCATGTTTATTGCTGCTCTATTTACAGAAGGGAAGACATGGAATCAACCCAAATGCCCAAAAATAGAAGACTGGATTAAAAAGATGTAGTACATATACACAATGGACTATTATTCAGCAATCAAAAAAGATAAATTCATGCCTTTTGCAGCAACATGGATGGAGCTGGAAGGGATCACTGCTTAGTGAAATAATCTAGAAAGAAAAAGAAAAATACTGATTATTTTACTGATTATTTCACTCATAGCAGGAGAGTACGGGATGGGGGGGGTAGAAACAAATGTAATAGAGTAAAAATGAACAACTATAAACCGAAGACATTTTATGGGGGTCGAAAGGGGAATGGGATCGAAACTGGGGTGGGAAGAATGCACTGGACTGAGGTGATTGCACATGGGTGAATTGGTAGTGGAAAGCCCACAGGGATTGCAACTGAGATGAAAAAACCCACAAAATGAAGAATGATGTAAAAAAAGAAAAAATATATAATGAATAAACAAATAAGAATTTGAACTGACTAACTGACTAGATGAGGTCCACCCATACTATGAGGGATGATCTCCTTTGAGTTAGTTGATTATAAATGTTAATAAAGTCTAACATTCGCCTTCATAGCAGCATGCACATTTATATTTGACCAAACAGCTGTGCACCACAGCTTCCTCAAGTTGATACATAAAACTTGACCATCATACAAAGTAACACAAAAAGCTAGTTTTGGAGCACTACCTAAAAGAAAAGAAGACTGTAACAGGCCAAGCTATCCCGCAAACTATTCTGCCACTTGGGACATATGATCCAGCATATCCAATGGTGCCTGAAGTGTCAGAGGCAAGTAAATAGAGAGGCTGCTGGGAGCCTCTGGCAAGTCCATTTAGGTCAATTGCAGGACAGACCCTTTGGATTTGGGAGCAAAGCCCTATCTTCCTCTGAAGATAAACAACTGCCTTTTGAGAAGCAGATGTTGGCTTGTACTGGACCTTAATAGATACAAATAGTTAACAACAGGGCCACCAAATTACCACATGAACTCAACTGCACGTTAGAAACTGGGAGTTGCCTGACATACCAAACCATAAAGTTGAGCATGCACACCAGTACTCCACCATCAAATGGAAGTAACAGATAAAAGATAGAGAAAGCAGTTATTTAAGAAATGACCCACATGTTCATGGTCTACATTTCTGCCACATTATCTTCTCCCTCCCAGATACCTGAGATCTATGACTCATGGGAAATTCCCTACCCTTGGCTGAATGAAGAAAGAATACTTGGACCTCATTAGAGATGATTCTGCCCAACAGATGGGCATCATTCAGGAGAGGCTAGTTGGAGTACTAAAGCCCCTTTCTGGGATACTCCTCAAGGACAGTAGTGAAGGACAGTAGTGAGTGGAACCTCAAGCAGTGCACCTCGTTGTTCATTCTGCTTAGAAAAAGAAATGGCCATCAGTGCCACTGCTTATCATTCAATAAATACAACCTATGGGTCACTTAGATGGTCAGGGACTTAGAGGAACACAACTGGGAAATTGAGGAAAAGTAGTCTGTGAAAGAGGTATGTGAATAGACTGGGGGTGGGGGGAGTTGGGGGGGGGCATGTCATATGGAGAGGGAATGAATATGTATGTGTCCCAGGTAAATGCTTACCAAGGGTCACCTCAGCAGAGGAGGAATTTAATAATCAAGTGGACACAATGACCCACTCTGCATATGCCTCTGAATGTCTCTCCTATCACTCCCCATTGAGCTTGTAAAAAAGCTGAGCATGGGAAGAAGGAAGGTTCTGCATGGGCTAAGCAGCATGGACCGGGACCCACCATGCCTGATCTGGCTACAGTCACTGCTGGGTGTCTAGCAACAGAGATCAACAATAAATGCCCATCATGGCACCATTCCCCTGGGTGCTCAGTCAGCTACCTCATAGAAAGGCAAAGTTTTGTTCTTCCTGGAATAGAATGGAATTGTTTTCTGGATACAGATTTGCCTTCCCTATATCCAACATTTCTGCCACACCTACCAGGTGTGGACTTAAAGAATTCTTATCCACCAGAATGGTATTCCATGTAGTACTGCCTCATATCAAGGATTTACTTCCTAGCACATGAGGGTCAGTAATGATCTTAACCATGTTCCCCCATTACCCTGAGAGAGCTATAGCTAACAGAACAGTGGCATGGGCTATTAAAGACTCTGTCACTGTATTAGTTAGATGGCTGAGGCAACATTCTTTAGATAGCTGTATATGCTCTAAGCCAGCAAGCATTCAAGATATAATTAGTGGTGGAAATTCCATGAGGAGTACACCTGAGAAAAGAAAGCAAATGTTATAAGAAAAAAAAATTTAAAAAAAAAAGATATAGTGCTGTTTTCTCATAGATCCCAGAATGAAAGAGTGGAAATGAGAGTAACAACACTCACTCTTACACTCAAGACGGGCTAGCAAAATGTTTGCTTCCTGTGCATATGACCTTATACTAAATTCTATACTAATTCTAAAAGGAGGAAGGCTTCCACTAGATGATAACAATTCCACTGAACTGGACGTTTAAAATGCCACCCACTCACTTAGAGATCCTCCTTTCTTTATATCAATGAGCAAAGAAAGAAGGGAGCTATTTTACTTACTGGAGCAATTACTTGATTACCAAGGGAAAATGTGACTGCTATTATGCAACAGCAGTAAGAAAGAGTTAAGTCGGGAATAGACTCGCTTAGCTTACCCTATAATTATAGCCAATAGAAAAGTACAATAACCCAATTCATGCAACGCAACTAATGGTCCAGACACTTCGGGAATGAAGTTCTGGTCACCCCACCAGACAAAGAATAAAAACCAGCTAAAGTGCCTGCTGAAGGCAAAGGGAATATGGAATGGGCAGTAAAAGAATCGTAATCATAAACACCAGCTACAACCATGTGACCAGTTCCAGAAATGGAAACTGTAATAACTGTGTTTTTATATTTTGTTACAAATCTGCTTATAAATTTATATACTAGACAAATATCTTTGTTTTCTTCCCTCTCTTATTTCCTTATCATATAACACAAGATCTAGTGATATCTTTACAACACAGTATTTAAGCTACAGATATCAAGAAGAGTGAAGGACCTTGCATCTATTCCTGTGGAAAGGATTAGCATTTTTCCAGAAGACAGTTGTTAACTTGTTTGGGTAAAGTATGACTTTATTAAGGTCTTTATTTGGATATCAAATATGGTTCTTAGGAAACGTGTATGAATGTCCATGACTGTCAGCATTAGTATTATGTATCATCTTGGCTAGCCAATGCAGTATCCAATTATTTAATCAAATTTAACTTAGGAACTGCTGTGCAACTATATTGGAGACATAGTTAAAATATACAGTTAACTTTTAACAAAGGAAATTATTCTCCTTATTTGGGGATGGAAATAACCCAATCGGTTGGAAGGTCTGAAAAGCAAAACTGAAGTTTCCCAGAGGAAAACAATTCCTATTTCAAGGCAGAGGCATCAGCTTTTTTGCTCTTTAGATTTTCGACTTAATGGTCCCTAGAATCATCTGATCCATTTTCTTGTATATTAATCTTTCATTTATATAAATACACACACACAAACACACATATATATATCATTATTAATATTTAAAATTTAAATGCCTAAAATTGCATTAATTAAAACATATTCCTACACACACACAAACACACACACACACACATATGGAGAAACAGAGTGTTCTATTTCTCTACAAAATCTTTACTCAGACCCTCCCTGGTGGCGCAGTGGGTTAAAGCACAGCACTAAAGAAGCTTAAGCCACTTCCGCATGAGTTCGATTCCCGCCGGCCCCAGAGGAGATCCACATGGCATGGCAGACCTCTCCTGACCTGCCCGCTGCTCCCCTCAGCAGTGTACCTCATCAGTCTACCTGTTCTGCTCCCCACTCTGTCCCTAGTGAGTCCTCTCACCCTCCGCATTTCTGGCCTGTACCCCAGTTTTGTATGAATAAATAAAAAAACCTTTTAAAAAAAATCTTTATTCAATCAGGATCTTTCAGAACATTAAGAGAAAATGCAGTCCTGCTTTAATTTGAAGAATACATCTAGAACCTATAGAAAAATACAAAATGATTTCAGCTCAATATAACAAATAACTTTTCACTAACTATAGCTACCTATTAAGGGAAAAAGTTCCCAGTCCCCGAAAGCAGCTGAGGGATTAGTGAATAAGAGATGTTCTCCATAGAAGTTTCTGTAATCAGTAGATATTTTAAGCATTAAAATCTGTCCATCTCTTCTCAAACGATGCTTTCATTTTAGATTAGCAAGATAGAACAAAATCTCAATCCAAGTAGAAACGACATTTATTAAAACTAAGTTTTCAACTCTACTGATCTCACAAATGGTTCCTAAAAGGGCTTTATATTATTTGTTGTATTATCTTCATCAGAAGTCTATAATTCTTTCCCAAAAGACCAGAATAGAGAAAAGTAAAGAGGAAAACACGCAAAACAACTAAAAGAACATTCATGAAGTACTTGCACAAATTTTATCTCTATTAACTCCTTAAAAATTAGCCGCAGGGTTTGTAAGGCGAAAAAAGACAATAACCATTTGAGGGACTACTACTTCTACTGCCTGGCAGGCTCAGAGGCACTTTGTATTCATTTTTATTTAATCTTCACAACCTTAAAGACAGGCATTATCTTTCCCATTTTACAGATGGGATAAGAGAGATTCAGAATACATTCCAATATAATAAGCAACAGAACCAAGGTTATAACTCACATTGATACCACTGCAAAGCGTGGATACTCACTGTAGG